CTCCAGCTCCCCAGTGTAACTCTCGCGAGACCCGCGGCCGTCAGAGCTTTGCCATGGATCACCATGGCAACGCTCCACGCGACACGCTAGCCGCGAGAGTTACACTGGGGAGTTGGATTTGCTGCTTGGAGGTGAGTAAACGCTTGCTCTCCGCCTCCCCTTCCCCCCCCCCCAAAGCTCAGCCAATGCCACTGGACCACCAGGGACTGCTATAACCCCCCTCCCTGGCCAGGTAACAAGCAGGGAGGGGGGACAACAAAAATAAATAATAATTATTATTGCCCCCTCACACACTCCATTATATACACATACACTACACAAACACACTGTGTATATAATGCAGTGTGTGTGTGTATACAATGCACACAAATACACTGCATTATATACACACACTATACAAACACACACACACACTGCATTATATACACACACTGTATATAATGCAGTGTGTGTGTGTGTGTGTGTGTATAGTGTGTTTATATAATTCAGTGTGTGTTTGTGCAGTGTGTGTGTTTGTGCAGTGTGTGGATATAATGCAGTGTGTTTGCATAGTGTGTGTATATAATGCACACTACACAAACACACTGCATTATATATCACCATGGCAACGCTCCGCGCGACACGCTGGCCGCGAGAGTTACACTGGGGAGTTGGATTTGCTGCTGGGAGGTGAGTAACGCTTGCAAAATGGTAAATGTACAGAATATCGGCAAATTATATCGGCTATCGGCCTGAAAGTTCACAGAATATCGGTATCGGCTCTAAAAAATCAATATCGGTTGATCCCTACCTCCAGCAACAGAGGGGTTAGTCTTTGTATGTGCAGTGTTTCTTACTTAAACGTTGCATATACAAACTCCAGGCACTATTATCACTTCAAATTGCTGAAGTGGTCATGGTGCTTGGAGTAACCTTTTAATTTATACTTTCCACAGATACATTCTTGCTAAAGTATAGGGGAAATATAATGGAAAGCAAATAGTGCACATTGTACTTCACTTACAAAGCAGATTCTTCTGTGATGATGTGAGAATAAATGTAGTAATCAAGGAGGGGTAGATCTTTCTGCTTTTAAAATGTATAAAAACAAACTTTACTTTGCTAAATATATCCTTCTGATGACTTCTCTAACCAGCTTGGATTGGAATGACCTAGAGATAGCAGTGGGTTTAATTCAGGTGAGAGTGTAATGTCACCATGTTTACAGTTGTGTGAATTTGAATGCAATGGTCAATCAGTAACCCAAATCAGTCATCTGGTTATGAAAGCGTACCTTAAACAGAGAGGAAAAATAACCACATATGCCAAAATTGTTTATGGAAATTATTTTTTCCTTTCAGTCTCATTCAAAACATTACCATAGCCATGGGGGTTTTCTGCATGAAATTAGTCCTGCAGATGAAGTGGAAGAAGAACATGCTCTCTTAGATGCAACCTGGAAGGGATTGACTGCTCTTGGAGGCCTTTACTTCATGTTTTTGGTGGAGCATTTAATTACCTTAATGAAGCAATACAAGGACCAAAAACAAAAGGTAAGCATTCCAGACATGGTTGTTTAGTGCATATTGTCAGTACATTAACCCTTACAGACAAATCATACTTAAAGGGACACTTGTCACCAGAACAAATACAGCTTAATATAATTGTTGTGGTGTGTATAGCCTGTCCCTGCAGCCCTGTGATTGGCTAAGATCATCACTTCTGATTTAATAAGTGCAATAATGGTTATTCAGATCAGTGTAACTTCTATTAGAACTGATTTTCTATATAACATTAGAAATACATAGATAAAATTAATGTAAAGTGAATTTAACTGAAAGGCCTACTTTCAGCATCAGCTGTACTGGTTATGGTGCCAGTTTACCCTCTTGACACGGTTTCCGATGCAAATTTGCCCATGATTGACATTAGCCTACCAGAAACACTTGTTCTCCAGGAGGTCGCACTACGCCTCTGGCAGCCGCAGAGTTAAATTCGGTATATACAGCGTTTCATAGTGAAACACTGCACACAGGTTCCAAGCATTATAAACCTCTCAAAATACTGAAGTGGTCATAGTAGTTGGAGTAAGCCTTTAACCCCTTAAAGACTGAGCCAATTGTACAAGGTATGATCAAAACATAAACAAAACCTAGAATTTGCGCTATGTGGTTTAACCATAATTCACCTTTCATATTAAGTGCACCCTCACTTATTATATATCATTTTGTACAGAGGTTCTGCATGACATTTTAACACTGAATGTCATAATACTGTTAGATTTTACTGAAATAAAATACACATATTTGTATTCAGAAATGTCTTACGAGTATAACCATACCCCCAATGTACAGGTTTTATGTGTTTTTGGAAACTTACAGGGGTCAAATGTAGGGCTTTTCCCTTTCCATGTTTGCATATTAAAATTTGCCAGATTGGTTTGCTGGGTCTATGTTGTCTTTGAGACCGTATGGCAGCCCAGGAATGAAAATTAACCCCATCATGGCATACAACTTAAAAAAGTAGACAAATCAGGGTATTCAAAATGGGGTATGTCCAGTCTTTTGTAGTAGCCACTTAGTCACAAATGCTTGGCAAAATTAGCGTTCATATTTGTTGGTTTTTTTGCCCTTTTTTACACAAAAATTACACTTTTACTGGTGGTCTCATCGTCGTGATAATTTTTTTTTTTTTTTTTAAACACTCATTTGTATTTAGCGAAGTCAATACCCCCCCCATGTAAATGTTTTATGGTGTTGTAGAAAGTTACAGGGTTAAATATAGGGCTTGACAATTACATTCTCTGGGTTGTCAGACAGGTCCTTCAAATTATAATGTGTCAAATGAATAGTTAAATATATATGTAGAATATGTGTGTGTATGTATGTATATATATTTTTCCAGGTCCCAGCACACAATGTTCTTTTTTTTTTTTTTTGCTCCGGTGCACAATCTCCAACCAAAATATATATACCTAGTAGAGAGCACTCTGGAGTCTTGATAAAGTAAATTCAAACTGCTGCTTTATTAAGCAAACACAGTGATAAACACAATAGTCGACGTTTCAGTCTATGCAGACTTTTTTGCTTAATAAAGCAGCAGTTTGAATTTACTTTATCAAGACTCCAGAGTGCTCTCTACTATATATATATATATATATATATAATGTGTGTACGCACGCGCGATTGGATTACCCGTCCAGTAGACAAGATGCCTTCCCTTCTCTAACATCAGTTGTTTTAAGTGTTAAACTATATCTGTATTTCTTCAGACCCGAAAAGAGAGGAAAACTTTCAAAGCTTGTCTTATTATGTTGGTCTAATAACAAAAAGTATCGTTGCATACTGCAATACACTGGAATTATATATATATATATATATATATATATATATATATATATATATATATATATATATAATGTGTATGTGTATGTATGTTTAAAAAAAAAAAAAACCCTACAAACAATAAAATCTGTCAACATTGAAGTTGTTTAGTGGATACGTGAGTTCGCTGGATCTTGTGTATTGTATAAATTGGCCCCCAGCAGCACCCCATTTATGCATTTTCAGATAAGTGCAGCCCACAGGTAACTCACTTATTCACTAAACCGCAACTTCAATACTGACAGATTTTATTCATTTTATTAAAATCAACTAATCTAGGCAAAAACAATGGGGGTTTAGTTACATTATATGATTATACATTGCATAAGCCTGCCACAATGTCAATGTACCCCATCTTTGGCAGGTCCTACTCTAACAGCCCAATGACCCTCAAAACTACAGAATTAATATTAACCATTTAATTTTAAAGTAAATGTCTGATCTTATGAGATGAACCCACTTACTTGGGGGGAAAATTCCATCTGGGGCTCTCTGCTGTACAAGGCTAACTAGGGCCCTGGGATGACACACCTGTGACAGGGAGGGGTGCAAAACCAATTATTTGGCTAGACTCTACTGCAAAGAGCCCCAGATGGAATTTTTCCCCAAGTAAGTGGGTTCATTGAATATTCATGCGCATTATGTCTCCCCCTGCTGGCGGCAGAGCGTGTGCGCAGCCTGACCCAGTGGCGAGGGACATCGGTGCTGGATTCAGGTAAGTCACTGGAGGGAGCAACAATTGTGTGTACCCTTTAAAGTGGAAAAAACATACACCAATAGGTGAATAAAACGTATAGGATAATTTACCTATATGTATCTCCCGCAATGTAGAAAATAAAGGACTCCTCACAGAATATACAAACAAAATAGATATCTACAAAAGGGGAGAATAAAACAACTCATAGAGTAGTATATCAAAACCAATAAACATATATGGTTCAAGGTTGCACTCACACAAATTGGTTGATTGTAGGCATGTCAAAATTTATAGAGATGGTATGAACTCTTCAAACTCCAAAAGAAGGCATGTGGGAAACAAGAAATTACACAACAATAAGTGTAGATTTAAAGGCCCATATAGTGCGCTAAATTAAGTAACACATACTCGTTTTCCTGGCACTATAGTGGTCCTTTAATCATAGTCTTTGTGTCAGAGAAGTTTTAGAAAGTTGATTTAATGAAGAAAAATACTGTAGAGTTTTATATAGGCAATTTGGCTTGCTCCGTTTATCGATTAAATTATCTGTAACCATCTTATGTGACTGTCACATCAAAACTATTTTTAATATAATAATCCTTTTATCAAGTTTTTAAAGGAAATAGATTGCTTGTTTTTTAATGAAGTGTATGTAAAAATAAAAATCAGAAAAATGTATTCCACCCTTTCTTATATCAAAAAATCTTTTGAGGTGTTGCCTTTTAAAAATTGCTGCTTTTACTAATCATGTATGGCAAAGTAGCTACACATCTAAGATAACTATGTAGATAAGCCTTACATTGACTGTAAATGCTTTGTTTTTTTTATTAAAACCAACTATGCATTGTTTGCAATTATTTAAGAATCAGAAAAAAAATGAAAATGAAGAGGAATTGGAAATTAAGAAGAATCTTTCTAATCACTCAAATATTGAAGAAAAGGGTGGATCTGATGCCGGATCTCGTAAGTAACGTATTCAATTTAATTATAGTCAAATTGTGCCTATAGATATACCACAATAAGATAAATCAATTATCCGTTCACAGATTTTCTATTCTTATATAACTTTTCAATTCATGCTTAGCATTGGATTGTGGCCCTCTGGTGCAAACAAGAGAGCTTAATGGTTACCCTCAATTTCCCGGTAATAGGGCAAACTGTTTTGCAATGGTTTTCCCTTTTACCTGGATCCCTGCCTGGTGCGGAGTCCAGAGCTGCAGAAGCAGGATGCCAATCACATCAGCTATTCATTAGCTGATCGATCTTCACTAATGTGACACTTTTAGAGCCTATAAATATTGACCCTTTTTTCTGGGCTAGCTAAAAAAGGCTCCATTTATACTGCGGTCGATTTACACCTCTGGCATCGATAAACTCTGTATATGCAGTATTTCATAGCAAAACACTGCACATACCAACTCCAAGCTCCATGACCACTTAAAGACACTGAACAACTCATGGTCCTTGGACTAACCCTTTAAAGTAATATTAGGCGTCAAGTGCGTTTTTAAAGGACCACTATAGTGCCAGGAAAACATACTCGTTTTCCTGGCACTATAGTGCCCTGAGGGTGCCCCCACCCTCAGGGACCCCCTCCCGCCCGGCTCTGGAAGGGGAAAAGGGGTAAAACTTACCTTTTTCCAGCGCTGGGCGGAGAGCTCTCCTCCTCCTCTCCGCCTCCGTTCCGCCCCGCCGGCTGAATGCGCACGCGCGGCAAGAGCTGCGCGCGCATTCAGCCGGTCTCATAGGAAAGCATTTACAATGCTTTCCTATGGACGCTGGCGTGCTCTCACTGTGAAAATCACAGTGAGAAGCACGCAAGCGCCTCTAGTGGCTGTCAATGAGACAGCCACTAGAGAGGTATAGCAGTTTCTCTGAAACTGCTATAATTATGAAAAAATGGGTTAACCCTAGAGGACCTGGCACCCAGACCACTTCATTAAGCTGAAGTGGTCTGGGTGCCTAGAGTGGTCCTTTAAGTTTTGTTTCTATGGTAGAAGCCGTATTTGGATATAAATTGCAATCTGACCATGGTAAGGACAATGTGCATCTTTGCATTGTTACCCTGATACTGACCAGACACATTGTATGCAGTCTCTGCTTTATGTGCACCTTCTACTTAAAGAAGCAAAGTTGGGGGGGGATATCTCTGACCTTTCCCCTTCAATTCAAACTCCATAATTTGTATATAAAGACATTTAGTCTTGTTCGTATTTCGTGTGCAAAGGTGTGTGTACAGTTTCTTTCATATGTGGAGTAAAACACCCCCAAAGTTATAAAAATGTAGCAAAAATTTTTTTTAATTTTTTTTTTAAAAAAAACTTATCTGCTATTAACCCCTTAAGGACACATGACATGTCATGATTCCTTTTTATTCCAGAAGTTTGGTCCTTAAGGGGTTAAAGAGACCCTCTATGCACCAGAACCACTAAAGCATAAAATAGTGGTTTTGTGGCATAGAGGCAGTGTTTACATTGAAGAAGCCAAACGTCAGTCTTGCGAGCACCAAAACGTCTTGCAGAGCCAATGTTTGCATCTTCAAACTCTGCATGAAGGAGCTTAATGATCCTCATAGAAATGGATCGAATCACTGCATCTCTGTGAGGAGATGCTGATTTGCGCAGGGCGGAGATTGCCTCCTCAATTCTTCTGCATGGTGATCTCTGCCAAGGGAGGAATGGTGGCAGCAGGAGTGGCGCACATGGGGGATATAACATAAGTAAAACTATTTTCTTTTATCCCTCTTTTTATCAAGTATAATATGCTGCTGCTTATTACGACTAATGCCAGTAGTACCATTATCTATTGATGCAATAAGCCAAGATTTCATCAGCTCCAAGGTTTAGAAACTGCAGTTTATTGAATGTGTGACATCGGGCTTCAATAAACTGCTTTTTCTGAACTTTGGAGTGCCTAAACCTCTTTGTACTTTATGCATATTGTAATTGGGACCTGGTGCTGAGTTCTAGTTTGATTGCACCCTAGCTCAGAGTGATGGGATAGAGTGCAGTTCCTGTTCGAGGTTTTGGAAAAGATTTAATTAGCTGACATTTTCTTAATCCTTTTTTTTTATTTTCCTTTTCTTTAAATGCTACAATATATGTAAGAAATTAATATATATTTAGATTTAATCTATTAAAAGAGAGAGAGAAATAGTTGGGTAGTATAACATTTTAAATGATTTTTCATTAGTATTGTGGATTTATTTTTTTATTTTATTCCCCACATAAAAATATAACATTTCTAATCTAAGTATCTGTTGTTTTCCATTAATATTTATGGTAATGTTAATGTCAGTTTATAATTTGGGTAGCAATTGTTGTGCATACTATTCCATGCTATGGCTTGGTTGAATCTTCTCTTACAGAGATCACAACATTTTCTCTTAAAGGGACTCTCCAGTGCCAGGAAAACATATCCGTTTTCCTGGCACCGCATGTTCCTGCAGTGTCCCTCTCCCTCCTACCCCCCCATCCCATGTTGCTGAAGGGGTTAAAACACCTTCAGTGACTTACCTGAATCCAGTCGGCAGGGGAGACCTAATGCGCATACGTGGCAATGGCGCATTAAACCTCCCCATAGGAAAGCATTATTCAATGCTTTCCTATGGGCATTCCGGCGACACTGGAGTTTAAGGGTGATGGGAGTTGGCACACAGACCACTCCAATGGGCAGAAGTGGTCTGGGTGCCTGCAGTGTCCCTTTAATTTGTTATTTTGTTATATGGCATTGTCTAGGTGCCATGTAACTAATACTACTTTCTTTTTTTTAATATTAACTTTTTTTTTTTTCTATTTAAAGATCATGAGAGCTACATGGAGAATGAGACACAGGATGTTACACAGTTTCAGACTCAACAGCCAACAGCCCCAGAAGAAGAGGAGGAAGAAATAATGATTGCTCATCCAGATGATGAAGCAGACTATTTAAAATACGGTTCTAGAGGCTGTGAAAATAAGTGTCATTCCCATTTTCATGACACACTTGGTCAGTCTGACGATCTGAATCATCATCACCATGACTATCATCATATTCTACACCACCATCACCACCAGAATCACCACCCACACAGCCACTGCCAGCGCTATTCCAGGGAAGAGCTGAAAGATGCTGGCATAGCCACACTAGCATGGATGGTGATAATGGGCGACGGATTACACAACTTTAGTGATGGTTTAGCTATTGGTAAGTAAAACAAAATGTTTTACAACTCTGGATTAAACCTGGCAAATGGAAAATTGTTTGCTTGACGACCCACAAATAATTTAACCTGTAACATTACATGTGTGGGTTTATAACACCTGCCATCCAATAAACAGGCAAATTTGTAACTGAACTTTGAACCATTTTGAAATGCATCTCATATTCTTTCCAATTGTGTCTTCTATGGTGTTATCAATGTATACTTGCCTATTGTACACACAGATGGACTTGTTAGCCTCTAAACCCCTGTAGTTAATTATGCATTCCTATAAGGTACCATAATCTAAAAATACACTGAACAAAATTATAAACGCAACACTTTTGTTTTTGCCCCCATTTTTAATGAGCTGAACTCAAAGATCTAAGACTTTCTATGTACACAAAAGGCCTATTTCTCTCAAATATTGTTCACAAATCTGTCTAAATCTTTATTAGTGAGCACGTCTCCTTTGCCGAGATAATACATCCACCTCACAGGTGTGACATATCACAATGCTCATTAGACAACATAATTATTATTAGGTGTGCTTTATGCTGGCCACAATAAAAGGCCACTCTAAAATGTGCAGTTTTACTGTATTGGGTGGATCTGGGGGGTGGGGGGGCTCCGAAAACCAGTCAGTATCTGGTGTGACTACCATTTGCCTCACGCAGTGCAACACATCTCCTTCGCATAGAGTTGATCAGGTTGTTGATTGTGGCCTGTGGAATGCTGGTCCACTCCTTTAATTGCTGTGCGAAGTTGATGGATATTGGCAAGACCTGGAACATGCTGTCGTATACACCGATCCAGAGCATCCCAAACATGCTCAATGGGTGACATGTCCGGTTTGTATGCTGGCTATGCAAGAACTGGGATGTTTTCAGCTTCCAGGAATTGTTTTCAGAACCTTGCAACATGGGGCCGTGCATTATCATGCTGCAACATGAGGTGATGGTCGTGGATGAATGGCACAACAATGGGCCTCAGGATTTGGTCACGGTATCTCTGTGCATTCAAAATGCCATCAATAAAATGAACCTGTGTTTGTTATCCATAACATATGCCTGCCTATATCATAACCCTACCGCTACCATGGGCCACTCTATCCACAATGTTGACATCAGCAAACTGCTCACTCACACAACGCCATACGCGCTCTCTGCCATCTAATAGTGAAAAACGGGATTCATCCGTGAAGAGAACACCTCTCCAAAGTGCCAGACACCATCGAATGTGAGCATTTGCCCACTCAAGTCGGTTACGATGACGAACTACAGTCAGGTCAAGACCCCGATGAGGACGATGAGCATGCAGATGAGCTTCCCTGAGACGGTATCTGACCGTTTGTGCAGAAATTCTTTGGTTATGCAAACCGATTGTTGCAGCAGCTCTCTGGGTGGCTGGTCTCAGACGATCATGGAGGTGAAGATGCTAGATGTGGAGGTCCTGGGTTGGTATGGCTACATGTGGTATGCGGTTGAGGTTGGTTGGATGTACTGCCAAATTCTCTGAAACGCCTTTGGAGATGGCTTATGGTAGAGAAATGAACATTCAATTCACTGGCAACAGCTCTGGTGGACATTCCTGCAGTCAGAATACTAATTGCATGCGTCCTCAAAACTGTGGCATTGTGCTGTGATAAAACTGCCCATTCTGGAGTGGCTTTTTATTGTGGCCAGCCTAACACACACCTTTACGATAATCATGCTGTCTAATCAGCATCTTGATATGCCACACCTGTGAGGTGGATGGATTATCTCGGCAAAGGAGAAGTGCTCACTAACACAGATTTAGAAAGATTTGTGAACAATATTTGAGAGAAATAGGCCTTTTGTATAAATAGAAAGTCTTGCATCTTTGAGTTCAGCTTATGAAAAGTAGGGGCAAAAACAAAAGTGTTGCGTTTATAATTTTGTTCAATGTATAATAAAAAAATCAGCATTTACCATCATGACTTTAATCTGAAAGTGAGCTGTGCTTTGTCCTTGTACAGCATGTGTTTTTTAAACGGAGTACTAATTTATATAGCACTAATCCTGAAATGTAAATTAGCATGGATTAAAAGAACACTCCACATATACATACAGCTTGTTGAATTGCGTTGTCTTGAGTCTTTCACATTTGTAACAGTTTCTAAAAGTTCTGATTTCAATAGACATCAATATTCCATGGAGCTAACACAAGTAACAGCCTCCCTCAATTCTAAATCAGCTATATTACAGCTCTTTGAGAAGCATTTGAAAGCTGTAATCACTAGTGCACAATGAGAAGCCACTGATCGGAGTATTCCTCAGCACAGAGAGTTTGCAAATGCTGCAGACAAGATATGCAGCTTTGCAGGAAGTTTGTAGATATACACCCCCAAAATAATGCAGAATTAAGTGCATGCTTGTTTACACTAGGGTTTATGGACTTTCTTTCTTTTTTTTTTTTTTTAAATTGGAGGACAATTGATTACTTCTATAGAAAAAAAAATCTTGCTTAGAAGCATTATTTGTAAATCTAGAGCAATACCCGATTTCCTTTTTCTTTTGTTATTGTGAGTGCTATGTTAGAAAAAAGCAAACTAGACTCTTCAGAGATTGCAAGGAAAGTGAAATGAGCTAATTCAGTGGCCACAAATGTTTGGCTACCCTTTCAAGGTACTTATTCCGAACATAAGTAGATTTATCCATTTAAAAATCACAAAAATATCTTATAGCACTCACTGTGGTTTGTTACTCTTTGCTCTGCTTTGTGGTTATGTGTGCTTTTATTTATTACATTGAACTGTATAATTAAAATTGTTAGTAAAAACAAATTGAATTGAATAATAGTTGTACCAACTAATGCAGATTGTATATTGTATTACAGGAGCAGCATTTACTGAAGGCTTATCTAGTGGATTAAGCACATCTGTGGCTGTTTTTTGCCATGAACTGCCACATGAGTTAGGTATGTAAACACTGAAAACACAAGTGGGGTTGCTATGTACATCAAAACAATGATATGCTTTGACATGGCCAAGGCAATTCTTTCATTTAGTGATACACACTTAACCAATGATTCACATAATTTAAAATAGAATGTTCTTGTTAACTGAGTTATAGTCATTTTAGCAGCTTAGATCTGCCTGCTGACATATCTAAAAATGTTTACGGCTATTGAGTGGAAAGCAGTATGCGTTTAAAAAAAAAAAAACTAAAGTAGGAAAGTTGTGTTACATTTCCTTGTTTGTGTATAATAATACATTCCTCTGTGTGTAGGTGAATATATACAGTTGCAAGAAAAAGTATGTGAACCCTTTGGAATGATATGGATTTCTGCACAAATTGGTCATAAAATGTGATCTGATCATCATCTTAGTCACAACAATAGACAATCACAGTCTGCTTAAACTAATAACACACAAAGAATGAAATGTTGCCATGTTTTTATTGAACACACCATGTAAACATTCACAGTGCAGGTGGAAAAGTATGTGAACCCCATAGACTAATGACATCTCCAAGAGCTAATTGGAGTGAGATGTCAGCCAACTGGAGTCCAATCAATGAGATGAGATTGGAGGTGTTGGTTACAGCTACCCTGCCCTATAAAAAAAACACACCAGTTCTGGGTTTGCTTTTCACAAGAAGCATGGCCTGATGTGAATGATGTCTCGCACAAAAGAGCTCTCAGAAGACCTACGATTAAGAATTGTTGACTTGCATAAAGCTGGAAAGGGTTGATCAGTCCACGGTAAGACACATTGTCTATAAATGAAGAAAGTTCAGCACTGCTGCTACTCTCCCTAGGAGTGGCCGTCCTGTAAAGATGACTGCAAGAGCACAGCGCACTATGTGTGGCAAAAAAAAAAGGCGCAGCACACCAACATCAAAACCTCATCCCAACTGTGAAGTATGGTGGTGGGGGCATCATGGTTTGGGGCTGCTTTGCTGCGTCATGGGCCTGGACGGATTGCTATCATTGAAGGAAAAATGAACTCACAAGTTTATCAAGACATTTTGCAGGAGAACTTAAGGCCATCTGTCTAGCTTAACATAAGATGGGTGTTGCAACAGGACAATGACCCAAAGCATAGAAGTAAATCAACAACAGAATGGCTTAAACAGAAGAAACAGAAGAAAATACACCTTCTGAAGTGGCCCAGTCAGAGTCCTGACCTCAACCCGATTGAGATGCTGTGGCATGACCTCAAGAAAGCGATTCACACCAGACATCCCAAGAATATTGCTGAACTGAGACAGTTCTGTAAAGAGGAATGGTCAAGAATTACTCCTGACCGTTGTGCATGTCTGATCCGCAGCTACAGGAAACGTTTGGTTGAAGTTATTGCTGCCAAAGGAGGTTCAACCAGTTATTAAATCCAAGGGTTCACATACTTTTTCCATCTAATAACATTTTTTTTTAAATTCTGTGTGTGTTGGTGTTGTTTGGTTTTTACCAGGAAAGATACTTGTTTTCCAGTATGTCCTGGGTCCACAAAACATTACATTGATACATTAGGGTGAACAGGTAGGAAATATATAATCAACCATCACACATGCATTCTGTTTTGAGATATGTAGAGAGGGATCTCTTAAAGGACTTTAGGCTTGGGGAAGATTTTAAAGTGTGTATATATTTATGTAATATTTTTACTTAAGTCATTTTATTAATTACTATTTGAGGGACCTGCCTTACAACCAAGGCATAAAGTCCACAGAATTTGCTTTGCAAGCCCTATATTTAACCCTGTAACTTTCCAAGACACCATAAAACCTGTACATGGGCGGTGTTTTCAAAGGTCACAGAGTCAAATACAAGGCTTGCATTTCTGTTTTTTTACATTGAAATTTGCCAGATTGGTTATGGTAGCACAGGAATGATAATTACTTCCATGATGGCATACCATTTACAAAAGTAGACAACTCAAGGTATTACAAATTGGATATGTTCAGTCTTTCTTAGTAGCCACTTTGTCACAAACACTGGCCAAAATTAGCGTTTAAATTAGTTTTTTTGCATTTTTCACACACAAACATGAACACTAACTTTGGCCACTGTTTTTGACTAAGTGGCTACTAAAAAAGACTGGACATATACCCTATTTGAAATACCTTGGGTTGTCTACTTTTGCATATGGTATGCTATCATGGGGTTAATTCTAATTCCTGGGCTACCATTTTGTCTCAAAGACACCATAACCAGTCTGGCAAAATTTTATGTTTATAAACTGAAAAATTTAACCTGCTATATTTGACCCTGTAACTTTCCAAAACAACATAAAACCTATACATGGAGGGGGAACGGTTTTACTCGTGAGACATCGCTGAATACAAATATGTGTACTTTATTGCAGTAACAGCTAACAGTATTATGACATTCACAATTAAAATGCTATGCAGAACTAAAAAAATTACATTTCTTATTCATATTAAATTATGATTCATATATTAATATCTGATATGAAATGAAAGCCCTGTTTCTCCTGAACAAAATGACGTAAAATAAGTGTGGGTGCATTTATTTTGCAAGAGGTTAATTATAGTTGAACAGACATATAGCGCTAATTCAAAATTTTGTTTTAATCTGAATTTGTACAACTGCCTATGTCCTTAAGGGGTTAAAATAAGTTTGTTTGTGTTTTCTTTATCAAGGTGACTTTGCAGTTCTTTTGAAGGCAGGCATGACCGTGAAGCAGGCTGTGTTATACAATGCTCTGTCTGCAATGCTTGCATACCTGGGGATGATAACAGGCATTGTTATTGGCCATTATGCAGAAAATGTGTCAATGTGGATTTTTGCTCTTACAGCCGGTTTATTCATGTATGTGGCATTTGTTGACATGGTAAGTTCTAATTTTCCAATAATTGATAAACGAATGGTAAATTCAACAACAATGTGATCAACTTTTGAATTGAGCAGATTATTTTTAACCCCTCCCGACCTCGGACTTACCAGGTACATCAGACAAAAAATGGTAAATAGTAAATCGCCACTTACCTGATCGCTGGTGATCCCCCGCCGATCCTGGGGTCTGCCTATACATAAACACAATATATATATATATATATATATATATATATATATATATATTCCCTATTACTACATAGTTATTTGATTTTATTAATTATAATTTGAGGGACCTGCCTGACAACCCAGGCAGACAGTCCAGAGAATTTAATTGGTCCTAAATTTAACCCTGTAACTTTCTACACCATAAAACCTTTACATGGGGGGTATTGACTTCGCTAAATACAAATGAGCGTTTTAAAAAGTAAAACTTATCACGATGATGGTATCACCAGTAAAAGTGCAGTTTTTGTTTAAATAAATAAAAAAAATATATATATATATATATATATACACACACACACTCGGGAGACTTTGCTGAACACAAATATGAGTGTTTCAAACCGTAAAAACTATCACGACGATAAAATAACAGGAAAAGTGCAGTATTTGTGTAAAAAAAAAAAATGAAAACGCTAACTTTGGCCAGCGTTTGTGATTAAGTGGCTACTACAAAAGACTGAACATATCCCATTTTTAATTCCCTGGGCTGTCTACTTTTTCAAATGGTATATCATGGTGGGGTTAATTTTCATTTCTGGGCTACCATACCGTCTCAAAGGCAACATAGCCTATCTGGCAAATAGCAATTTACAAAAACAGAAATTGGCAAATCTTATGTTTGACCCTGTAACTTTCCAAATCACCATAAACCTGTACTTAAGGAGTACTGTTGTACTCGTGAAACATTACTCTATACAAATATGACATGTATTTTAGAGCAGTAAAATGTATTATACTGATATCACAATTTTTGTGTGAAAAATGCAAAAAAAACTATAATTGCAAATTTTGGCCAGGGTTTGTGACTAAGTGGCTACTAAAAAAAAAACACTGGACGTACCCAATTTTGAATACCGTGGGTTGTCTGCTTTTACAAATGATATGCCATGATGGGGTTAATTTTCATTCCTGGGCTGCTATACAGTCTGAAAGGCAACATAGGACCAGCAAACCAATCTGGCAAATTTCAATGTGCAAACATGTAAAAGCCCTACATTTGACCCCTGTAAATTTGCAAAAACTCCTAAAACCTGTACATTGGGGGCACTGTTGTACTCAGGAGATATTGCCGAACACATGTTTGGGTGCCTTTGTCAGTAACACATAAAAGGAACTGCAAATCCATGCCTAAAGAACAATGTGAGAGAAAACTAACACAAAAAAATTACTACCCAAAAGTTTGACAAAGACTGATGGTAAAATTAGTGCATGGAAAGTGTTAAAATACCACCATTTGAAATAACCTAGGCTGTCTACTTTAACCCCTTAAGGACACATGACGGAAATATTCCGTCATCAATCCTTTTTATTCCAGAAGTTATGTCCTTAAGGGGTTAAAAAAAACAAAAACTATGGTCTGATGGAGGTAAATTACATTGGCGACTTCAAGAATGTCCCAAATAGGACATGGGTGCATGATGACCAGATGTGAAAAAAGTTGGAAAACTGGAATGCGCACCCTCCTAATAAGGTATTTTAGCCCCCCGAGAACCCGACACACCTATACATGGGTAATATCACTGTACTTGGGAGATGTTGCTGAACACATATTGAGGTGTTCTTTGGCAATAACCCTTAAAGCTCTCAGTACATGTATTCTTAAATTGCTACTTGTCTCAAAAAAAATCACCAATTATTATTTATTATTTTTTTAAATTTGGTCTAGATTGGTGGTAAAGAGTCAAAATACTTCAAGTTTGATACCTTAGGTAGTCTTTTTAAAAAAAAATATATATATATATATATGTGAAGGATTATTCAGGAATTCCTGACAGATATCGGTGTTAAAATGTAACTTTTTTGTTAGTTCTGAAAAAAAATGGTTTGGAAATAGCAAAGTGCTACTTGTACTTATAGCCCTATAACTATCCAAAAAAAGCTAAGAACATGTTAACATTGGATATTTCGAAACTCAGGACAAAATTTAGAAACTATTTAGCATGGGTTTTTTTTTTGGCGGTTGTACATGTGTAACAGATTTTGGGTATCAAAATTAGAAAAAGTGTTATTTTTTTATTTTTTGCATCATTTAAAAAAAAAAAATTATATAATATGATGAAAATAATGGTATCTTTCGAAAGACCATTTAATGGCGAGAAAAACGGTATATAACGTGTGGGTACAGTAAATGAGTAAGAGGAAAATTACAGCTAAACACAAACACCGCAGAAATGTAAAAACACCCCTGGTCCTGAACGGTAAGAAAATTGAAAAGCAGTCTGGTCATTAAGGGGTTAAACAGTTTTTTTTATTTTTTTTTTACATTTTTGGAAATTATAACAGTGTAGCATTCTAAACAAATCCCTTCATCTCTGGTATATGCTTTAGTCTGATAGGCCAAAGCATG